GGAATGAAAAAAATAATCTGCATAAAATACGAAAGTTTGCAGGCACCCAGATCGTGTGCACTAAAAACTAAGAACTCCCCCGTCTTTGGATAGTGAGGGCAGTGCGCTTGATAAGTCCATTAAGAATTAAAAATAATGTATATTACAAACATAGTGAATTAGCCAACTGAGTTACTGTCACGGCAAGTGGTTACTGTAATTAGTTGAATCATGAATGCTATTAAAGCGGACTGTATAGTGTGTCGTCCCGGACATTTACGAGGAGTGTTGGTAAGGCAATCATCCCCTGACGCGTACCAGTTACTGCTGGTACATTGCCACATTAGACGGACCTTTGAGGTTCTATGTCCGTACACGCTAATCCCCATTGAAACATCACCCACCGCTCACGCCATATCTGTCGGTATTCAAACGATCTGCATCAACTTACTCAAACTAGCAATTACTCAGTTTTTAAGCCCCCCCCCTCCACCACAGTGGCCGCGCATTGCTGCCACATATAGGCCGAGTCGCTCATTGGCGATTCCATCGCGAAACGGCTGAAAAAACGCTTAGAAGGGCTATGCCGTCTGACGCAGTTAGAAAGGTTTCCAAATGACGGGATAACTAGATCCTGCTCACGGAGGAAGATAACACTCGGCTGTGGCGATAGACATATAACTTCTTAAAAATGCCTACTCAAAACGATTAAAGTAGCATACTTTGGTGTCGTTCGAAGTCAGTAGCCAGTATGTGTGGCACTTGTAGACGCGGCCTCAACCTTACAAACCAAGGCGCTTAGTGATCATTTTTAGTATTTGTGACTCAGTCTTGCCAGTTGACATAGAAGGTTTAACATGAATACGTGAACTAAAGACAGTGCAAGTCCATTAAACTGTAAACAGATTCGGGTTTCATTCTGTGGAACAAGGGGCTGGGAAAATGTATTCGTCAAATGCCATGGACGCGTCGAGTGCACCGCAAACAGCCTAGAATGCGAGGCAAGTGCACCTTAATCCCTTTTATGAGCAGCAATATAAGGACTCAAACAACAACTCACTTGTCTCATTCGCGGATCACGTTGCTTCAGTACCAGGGTCAGTAAATCCGGTTGGGGGCCGGGTTGGCCAACGGAAGTGGCAGTTCTTTGCTCTGTTGAAAGCCTAGTATTCAGCGGCTGGGACTCTGGCATAAGGCAGGGCCAGATGTCTAGGCAAATGCGCTTGGTGGTACAGTTCACGATGCGCCGTATGCAGAAGGTCGCAAGCAGGCAGATTTTCTTCTAAAAGGGAATAAAGACTTGCACAACTCACCTACTGAATTGTCTTTAAGTATTCCATTTATATAACAATAATAATTCATCTTCCCGATCCCAGCCTACAAAACAACAGTCCCGTGCCTCAATGGTAGAGTGCTACACGCCATGCCCAAAGGTCCTGGCTTCGAATCTCGGTTGATCCACACCATAAATTGGGTATGACTGACTAGAGTTCAAGAAGTACATACGTGAACAACGTCAACAGGACGATTGACAAATTTAAGAAGACATAGATCCTCGAGGGAAAGGAGGCACTGCAGGCAAAAACCGCAGACACCGCGGTGGCGCGTTTTTAAGGTCGACCAAAAGTGCATAAACTAAGAGCACCTCTTCACTCCCACCATCGCCTTAAGCGGCACCCCGACCTGTGGGCAGTCAAACTGGTTCTACCAACGGTTTCGTTTCCACAACGATGTCTCTGAATGGACAGTGAAGTCGGCTGAACAGTTTCTGAGGAACACCAGACGTCTAGAAATAGATTCGAAAGGAGTGGTGGCGTCATTTGGTGTGGTTGCCTCAGTCACCTCCATTCTAATCGACCTGATCATAAGCACGATTGGCGAATTTCTTCAAGAAAAGTATAAAAAGAAAGACCGACGACTTAAATGGAAACACATCGCCGAACTCTTAGAATTGCGCCTCAGGAATTTCATCACCTTCAACGACCATGTTAACGAGCAAAAGGGATGCCCTCCCTCTAACATAATAATATTACATATAGAATATAGTATCCCGTTCATCATCCCCCCAAAGAGGAAAAGGAAGTAAAGAGGGGGCTTTTATGGACCATAAGATATTGGTGCTGACGTTTAGGAAACATCCTCGTTTCCATAGTCAGTGGTGAGGTGCTTGTTCCTGTTCTCTGGATCTCGTATATTCATCCATGTCAATAATATAATATATAAAAAGGTGGAACAGGTGAA